CAGGAGAGCTTCGAGAACCACTGCTCCCTGGTGGAGCACGCACGGATGGTCTCGGCCGACGCCACCAACCAGTGGGTGCACCGCGCCCCGCCCTACGGGCTGGCCACGTTCGCGCTGTGCAGCAGGTAAGGGGGCCCCCGGGGCCGAGCCAACTGCCTGGGTCCTGACAAAGGCAGCCCAGCCAGCTGCCGCCTCAATTCTAGCTCCTCTGTCTAGAGATGCAACCCAGGCAGTGGGGCCGTTGCTGGCGCATGCTGCGCCTGCCCCCTCTTTGGAGGAGAAAGGGTTAAACATCTCCCCCTGGATCAAGGGCGCTGTGCAGCAGGTAAGGGGGCCCCCGGGGCCGAGCCAACTGCCTGGGTCCTGACAAAGGCAGCCCAGCCAGCTGCCGCCTCAATTCTAGCTCCTCTGTCTAGAGATGCAACCCAGGCAGTGGGGCCGTTGCTGGCGCATGCTGCGCCTGCCCCCTCTTTGGAGGAGAAAGGGTTAAACATCTCCCCCTGGATCAAGGCAGGACGCTGGGTGCAGGGTCTCCTGGGAGGAAGTTTCGGGGAAGTTAATTTTCAAGGGTCTCCCTGGCTTGGCTCCTGTTGACCTCAGGAGAGGAGGGTGAAAAACCTAATTGGGCGCTGGTGCGGAGCTCAGTGGGCTGGCCATGGGGGGCATGAGGGGCGCAGGGCGTGTCCCCACCACGTCCTCTGACCCTGGCCATACACGCTCTGCTGGGGGGCGCTGCCAGAGCTCTGGCCGGCTAGGAATCCCCAGCTAACCCTCATCTAGGCTAGGGATGTTAAGTATCGGTTAATTGAATGGTCGATTAACCTCTCGAGTTCTTATCGGTCACTCGACTATTCGATAGTCCCCACTCCCGAGGAGCCCCCTGCCACTCTGTGCTGCTGCTGCTGTATCCGAGGCAGCAGCGCAGGGGGCCAGGCGAGAACTGGTCTTAAAAACCAGCCCCCTTCAGACCGGTTGCCTGTTGCCCCCTGCTGTTGGGGGGGAGAGCTCCCGCATCCAATAGGAGCCGGAACTGAGCCAGGCTGCCTGCCCGCCTGGCTCCTAATACACTTGAAATGCAGAGCCGCAGTGCGGGAAAGTTCCATACCCGGCGGGAGACAGGACTGAGCCGTGCTGCTGGCCAGCCTGCTAAAAAATGTATTTGCAAAGTGGGGGGGATCCATGCGGTCTGTTGCATTAACCAATAAGCTTTTGCTAATCGGTTGATGGACTCCACGATCACATTGCTCGTCTAGGCGCATGGAGCGGGCTGGTGGGGCGCACCGGTCCCTGTTCAGTCTCCGGTCTCCGGTCCTGCGTGCTCTGTTTGGCACGTGGTCTCTGTTCCCCTGCAGAGGAGACATCTGCACCCTCGGAGACGGGTGCACCCAGGCGCATTCGGTCGAGGAGCTGCAGGAGTGGATCCAGAGAGCAAAGGCTGCCGAGAGGAGCAGGAAATCGGCCCTGAGAGACGGGCTCCTCTCCTACCAGGACCGGCTCATTGCTGAGTACCAGGAGTGCCGCAACGAGATCTTCATTGTACGTCCCTGGCTGCGGTGGGGGTGGGGGGATGAGCCGGCGGACTGGAAGGGGGTTAAGCTTGCTGAACGCTGAACCCAGATCCAGGGCTGTGTGAGAAGGCAGCAGCAGCATTGACACCCGCAAAGTCCCTGCGTTTGCGCTGGCTGCCCCGTGGAGGCCGGCTGTTTGTGCCCCTGCGTTTTCGAAGGGGGTGTGTTCAGAGGGGCTCGGAAAAGTGCATCCCGACATCCCTCCGCCTGTATCAGCAGTGTGGGTCGGTCCCCCCCACCCCTGGGTCCTGATCCGAAATAGCCCCTCCCTTGCCATGTGCAACCCCCACAGGCTGACGCCTGGAAGTGAAACGGACCCGAGGGGGCAGCGACGGGCTGGGTCAGGCCCCTCTCGCTGCGGACGACGAGAGAGGCAGAAGGCAAACGAAGGGGAGAAAGGGGGATGTGGAAGGGGAGAAAGGGGGAGCCGTTCCCAGGCTCCTCTGGGGCAGCGCAGGCCTGTTAACAGGCTAACTCCGCCCGCCTTGCCACGCCCTCGCTGGCGAGGAGGAATCGGGCGCGAGTCCCTCACTCTGCTGCAGCTGATGGTCCTGGGGGGAAGAAAGAAGAGGGGTGTGTAGCGTTGATTTGCATGTGCCCATTGGGTTTCTCTGGGGCCCGGGGTGGTGCTGCACGGCTGCGGGGCCCCCCCCACGCTGTTGCCTGTGATCGCAGGGGGCAATACCCAGCTCTTCTTGTCTCCTCTCCCACAGCTCTCTGAGGAGGTCGACGGCGTCCGCATCACCTGCGAGCAGCCCATGCGGGTGCACTCCGAGGACAGGAAGATGCGCTATAGGTGGAAGTTTGCAGTCCACTCCCAGGTAAGAAGCATCCAGGGGGTTTTAGGGGCTCTGTGCCCCGCGTAGGGCGCCAGCCCTTCGGCCCCAGGGGCTGCTGAAGAGAGCCGCTGCCTGGTTCCGGAGTGGGAGGAGGATCTGGTCCAGGTGCCTTTGGGGCGCTCGGAAAGCTGCTGCCCGCGGGGGTTACCGTTGGGGCCAGAGCTGGGGACGCGCCCGCCATGGTGCTCAGGGCAAAGGGAAATGTTCTTCAGAAGTCTGTGCAGCGTTTGTGGGGCTAGGGAGGGATTTTGTCTCCCCTTCCCCCTCTGGTCCCTTTGCTGGGCCCCGGATTGAGCCTTTTTGGAAACCTCTTTTAGTGTTTAGTAGGGACGGAACCCACCGAGGTCCACAGGCATTATCCTAGAACCACAGAACACTAGGACTGGGAGGGACCTCCAGAGCTCGTCCAGTCCCGTCCCCTGCCCTCATGGCAGGACCAAGCAGCGTCTAAATCAGGGCAGCTCAACACTTGGCCGGTTTGTTTGCGGTGCAGTTTGGATTTACACGGGCCTCAACATGGGGGGATCCTTTGAACAGGGCCTCCACTGGGAACACGCCCCACAACGGCGAGTCACTATAACGGCCTTCTGTTGAGATGCGTTTTAATAGTTCCATTCTGGAACTAGCATGGCTCATTAAAAGTGCTGCCGTTTGGGTGGAAGTCGAGTAGCTATGACTTTTTATTAATAGCAGCAGACCTGACTTAAATGGGGCCTGTGTGTTGTGACGTCTTGCCTTAATCTTTGTATTCATGCTTGTCTGTGTGAAAATATATTTGCATGTATATGATGCAGCTAAAGTTGTGGCCCTCGCCATGTGCTGTGAGGATCATTGTCCGTCCCCCCCGCCCCCCCGCCCTGGCCTTCCAAAGTTGAGTAGCCCTGATCTGGATCAGTGTTTCTCAAGCTTTTTTTTTTTTTTTTTTTTTTAAGTTCCC